CCTTGCGTGTCTTCCTAAGCCTTAGGAGTACCCTAATTAAGTTAATAACAATGTACCTACCTATATAGTTTAAGTTTAAAAAATTTGCCAGCCTGGGTGAGGGGCTGACGGCTGTTTGCAGCTGGTCACACACCCTTTAGGGTGGGGGTCCCCACTGGGGTGCCTGGCCAATCTGGATGAGGGGCTGAGGGTCTTCAGGCTGGCCGACGACTGAAGCTCCAGCCTCTCGTTTTTGTTTTTTTTTTTTTTTAATCTGGGATTTATTTACCCAGGTAAAGGCAAGGAGCATTCATTGGTAGCAGACAGTTGTTCTGTGGCCCTGGACAGTGACAGGGCCGCAACAGGGAGGAAGTTGGCTTCATCCATCACTGGAGAAAGCAAGCCTCCTGCTCGCTTTAGCTGCGTGGCTGCCGGCCACCATCTTTGTTGGCGGTTAATTTGCATATCTCACTGATTAGCCAATGGGAAGCGTAGCGGAGGTACGGTTAATTTCAATCTTTGTCTATTATTAGATAGGATAATACTCCCTCAGCAGTGTTTTGCAGTTCAAGTGAGAAAATGTTTGAGGCACTTAACACATTGTATGTGGGAAACGTATTTATACTTTCTACCAGTGTAGTAGTGCGCGGGACATGTATTAATACGTTTTTTATAGACTAGCGGTAGAATGCGGGTAACGTATAAATACGTAAACTAAAGTTATCGTAATTTTACTGAACGTTGCCATTTGCACAAAAAATTAGCAAAAATGGCCCGCACCACCTGTTAGCGTGTGATAAAAACTACCCGCAAACAATGTGTTAAGCACAGGACACAGCTAATAGCAATACTTAACACAGCAAATAGTATATGTAAAAGCCATTCTTCTTTCAGAGAGGAAGAGAAAGGGAGAGAGAGATAGAAACATCAATAATGAGAGAGAATCATCAATCGGCTGCTTCCTACATGCCCCACACTGGGGATCAAGCCCACAACCCAGGCAGGTGCCCTTGAGTGGAATCGAACCTGGGACCCTTCAGTCCGCAGGCTGACGCTCTATCCACTAAGTCAAATCAGCTAGGGCTTACCCAAAGCAATCTATAGATTTAATGCA